GCTCCTCCAAATAAGCAAAATAAAGAAACGTCGTCAATCAGTTAGAGCAACACACCGTAAAGACGGTTACCTGACCGCTAAAGTAATGATGATATCATGAAGAGAAGATGGTCAAATGATTCACTACGATGTAAAAAGAGTGTAACAATTATAGCTCCGAACAATACCTTAAAGCAATTCCCATCATGATTCTTCGCAAATCGCCTTATTGAATACACCAAATCCACGAATAGATGGACGGCAATATTTCGTTCAACCAAAAGCTGGGTCAGGAATTCGAATAATAAATTTCTGAGAAAGGAGAGTTTTGGGAAACATGAGGAAGGGATGATCTTCACTTTAGATGATGTGACTGAATTTAGACTGCAATTTTTGCAAAATCCTCGAAGACAACAGTGAATGTTGAGGAATTCGACTCAGTCTTACCTTATATCCTCACTTTCCTTCAATTTCGCATACTCGTGAGAGAATCTTAAATATATCTCTTCATTCAATATCACCATTACCTCAAAAATATGCTCTACTGATCACAACGAATGAATCGAATAAATATCGAATGAATATGAACAAAACTGTTAAAATCAGCAGTATATTTGAAAATATGGCAAAACGCACACAATCTAACAACAACACATTACGGTTGATAATAATACCAAATACAATAGTAATATTTAATATAAATATTAACGAATAACACTCATAATTATGGTAATGAAGAAAGCGACTAGTATGTCCTTATGAACGCCAAAAATTGCGGTATGATATACTTCTCTTCCGTAGATTCATTTCATCAGGATTCTTCGTCTATAATACATCAAATTCGTGAAACGCGAAAAAAATCTGTACTGTAATTTTCCATTAATTCACAATATTCGCTATCATAGACGATGTAGTCGACGGGCAAAGCACTGAAAATATTTGATTAATTCTTTCTGAGCACCAATAAATAAACAGCAAATACGTGGCATATTTAAAATTCGATGAATTCACGGCTTTATTGTGAATAAATGAGATGAAAACTGTATTTGTGACAAATAACAACAACCGAACAATATTAATGGTACTCACCAGTTAGGATATAATCGGTGAGCATGCTCGGAACTGCTGGATTGTCATCGTCGATCGCTCGTAATACTGAAATAACAAAATTATCATTGAGATATTCAAATTGCCATTAGTCAATTTACCATTTTTGTATTCACAATTCCGAATTTTCGTGAATAGCTATATCTCCTCGAGAAAGCGAAATCGCTCGGCAAAATATATGTTTTCCTGATTGCAGAGATTCTGCCAGATCGAATAGTGTGCAGATATTCATCTGTTATCGCTAATTGAGAAATCAGATCACTTCATATGAAAAGTTTTCCATAAACGGAGTAAATGAAAATCATTTCATTTACTTACATTTGATGAGTGCTTGCAAGGTGTTGTTGTCCATATTTTGATGTGTTTCATCGTAGGGTATCGATGCAGTCATATACTGAAATAGAACGCAAAAAATTTATAATCCGCATCAATTCAGTTTCCCTGGGCAGTTCAAATTTACAAACCATCATAAATATTTATTGAAATGGATATAACATGATGAGATGAGATCAGATGTCAAAGTGAATACCTGCGGCAATTGAGATGAGTCGATTTTGAGCGCTTTTCGTTTTCGTTCATTTGCGAATTGTCGTCGTCGATTCTGGATGGATAGAAGTAACGAGATAAAAGTATTCTTCATTTCTTTCTCATATTCCAATTCATCCCTATGCGCCAATTGCTCCACTAAACTGTCGTTATAAACCTGAATTCAATATTTTTCAAACAATCAAAACCAACTCACATCCGATCATCAATCATGTTATGTGGCTCGTTTACCAAAATCTAGTTATTTTTGATCCTCACTACTACTATCAATGCTCTATTCAGGTTTAGTCCGTTCACGAGTTGATAAACTTTTGAAGATTTTGTACCCAAACACCACATCTTTACCAACTGTATTGTGCAAAATAAGAAACAATTTCGTCCTTATAAGTATCAATAATCAAAAAACGTCAATCGAAATACGCAAACTTCACCCGACCTGTATGAGTTGCTCCATTTCAGCATTTAAAGTAACCAATTTACTGTACGATAGTGACTGAAGATCTGAAATGATCGTTCAAATCGCATCATTAACTTACACAAATGTTCAATGAACCAAAGGAATATTCAAAAAGAATTACTTAAAAACATAAAGAAATCAAACAAAATGCTACTAATCAATCACTGATGAGGATCTAAACTAAACAGTGAAATGAACTCAAAAAAAAAAAACCATTTCAAAATTCAAGCAAAGGACGAAGCAGAAGCTGGAAGTTTCTAAAACAATGAAGAGAAAGACAGTATGTTCGACTGAACGTATTCGAACGATGATAATCGGACGTGAAAACAAACTACATCACAGCCTAATTGCATAATTTTCATCCGTTGAATTAATCAACACTTAATTTGCTTTAATAATACTACATGAGCAGTTTTAGCATGCCAAATATGCGTTGAAATTGTTAAGGTTATATAAATTTTGTTACAATACGTAAAGAATCTAGACGTATCATGCAGTTGGATCATATCAAAACGCAGTAGATCAAAATGCTAGGTCATAAAATGCTTTATTAGCAACTAAACCACTTGGATATGTCCCTATTGGTCGTTGGCTTAACAATTGAGTAACATAAAATTACAAATTTCCCATTAAACTTACAAAAGAAATTTGGAGAACGCTCACAATCAGACCCCTTCAAAATCATTGATTAGTAATAGGAAAATAAATGTACAAAGGATAATCGAATGACAAAAAACCTCTTGCGACATGAGAAACGCAACGAAAGCCAAAAAAATCCTTTTGAAAAAAAATTCGAAAATATCTTATAGCTAGCAATAAGCGATACAAGATACAAGCATCTGGCAACCAAGAAACAGTTGAGGAGAAAAAAAATGACCACATGCATTTATTTCATTCAGCAAATTCACTATTGCTCTATCTAGACAGTTTCAATCAATCAAACAATACTCAGAAAATAAATGAGCAACACAATTGTGCAATCGCAATTCATTTACATATGGCACAATAGCAATAGCTTAATCCAGTTCCTTGTATTCAACTTACCATCTAGGCCTGGATACACTTTAATATTCAACACTTTAGATTATTCATGAACTAATTCGAGATCAACATTTCGAGTTGTGATTAAATCGTTTTCAAGGATACTGGATGAAACCGATGTTGTTTCCGATCGAACACAACCAAAAAACCGATTCAACTGATTATTGTAAAGGTAATATTGGTTTAGGTCGCAATTGGACGCAGACACGGGTGGATAACAGAGGACAAACTCCTTCACAGACTCAAACATTTTGAAAAAACGAGAATGCTTACATTCAGGATTCGCCGTAATGGCAGTGGCCTGCCTGAACTTGGCGTCCAGCTCGGACTGTGCGGATGGCAGCGGAGAGCGCATTGATGAATACATACTGTCGACGGATTCCATCGTACGATCGGTCATCATTGAACCAGTAAAATCGCATGACTGAAACAGCTACTGTGCACAGTCTAAATTCAGCCACATCTCTTAAGGTGAAGATTATCCATCTTTCATGTTTCCCAAAATTTTTTCCCGTCTCGGAAATTTATTATTTTGAATTCCTAACCCAGCTCTTTGCTTAAACGAAATATTGCTGTGAATCTATTCGAAGATCTGTGGGCATTCAATAAGGCGATTTGCATTCAAAGAATTCTGATGGGTATTGCTTTAAAATAGACTATTGTTCGATGCTAATTGAAAATACAGAATACTTCAACACTGATTATGATAAGAGATGATCATCAATGCAGGTAGCAAATCACTTCAGGAAATAGCTACCATATTGATTTTACTCGATTACGACTCAATTACACTCATTTACTTGTTTCTAAACGCTTTCAGTTTAGTTTCAAAGTTTTCAGTTTGTAAATGGTCGCTTAATCGCTATGGCATTATGGCTGATACTATTTGCAAATCAGATGATTGCTAAAAAATACGCTCACGTGTACCTGTAGCATTTGATCGATTTCTTCGATAACTTGATCAGCAGTCTGCGGTGGTGAATCAGAGAGTGGTCCTTGTTGATAGATGAGTTGATGCATATCCAATGCACCTCTCAATTCCTCATCTTCCGATACATCTACTCCTGGATCACTGCCCTCCTGAAACATTATCTTTCATTGCATGCTTTCTCCTTTTCAAGATATTGCCTGTCATGTGCACAATTGTAGATAATGAACTTATTTTTTCGGCTGTATTCAGAGTCTCAACAATCATTCGAGTTGCAATTACCAGATGAATGAGCAATCGCGATTGACATTTATGAAAAATGTCTTTCAGCTGCACACAACATCCATCTGGCCCGCAAAC